ATGAAGATTATTACGTCATCGACGTAAACATAACATATCCTACCAATTTGTTCGCGGAGCACATCATCGATGGCTCGTTGAAAAATACTTGGGGCATTTTTCAGCCCGAAGGGGAGTCTACAAAACTCGTACTACCCGTTGTTGACAGAGAACGCTGTCTTTTTTCTGTCTCTTTCAGCCAATTCGATTTGGTGAAACCCTGACTTGAGGTCCAGCTTAGTGAAATACTGAGCCTCGCCCAAATATAGTCGGAATGGATGGGATGTCGTCGGTTGTCTTATGATTTAGTTTCCTAAAATCAATAACCAGACGCTTTTGTTTGTGACCCGCTTCGTCGATGCTTTTTTTGTCGACGACCCATATCGGTTTATTTAAAGGGGACTTTGACGGCCGTATTTTGTCATTCGCTAGAAGTTGTTTAACCTCTGCATTGACAAAGTCAGACACGCCCTTTGGATACGGATACAGTTTTGAGTAAACTGGTTCGTCATCCGTTGGTATGGTGGCAACCGTATTTATGTTGTACGGTAGGGACTTGTAAACGTCCGCAAATGCCATTACCATTTTGTTGATCATACTATCAAAAGTGGATATGGCAGCAGGAGGGACATCTGCGTCATTAATCCGAATATGGTTCACCTTTTGACATTTAGTGAACTCGATTTTTTCTATCTATTTAACATGTCAAGTCCAATTATGCCATCAAAGTCATTAGGACTCTAGCATGAAAAAAGGACTTTACGTCGAAAAGGTGGATGGGGCATTTCTGCTCGATCTTAGTGTGCCCATGAATGTTTTTGACTTGAAAAGGACACCCAATGTGCCAGTTCAGGAAGTGGTTTTATATAATTTTTTGAGGCCCCTGTGTCTATCACAAGTCTGATAATTCGCCCTGCAACCGTTCGTCTCATGAACGGAAGCAGAGAGCTTCCGCTAAAAAATTACTGCTTTCGACCCTGGACAAATCGTCCTCTACTTGTGTCATCTCATGCTGTGACCGTGACTCGTAGTCACCGCTACTCTCTTCTTGGGGTAGATGATTCAGGTTTTGTTGGGTTGGACTGCTCGCCGTAACTTTGATTGTTCTTGTAAACCTGTGCGGGTTGCCTGAAGTGCGAGGAGGGATCCACCTCCATTGGATCGGGACCCCGCCCTTGGGACTTTTGATTGTTAAAGCGCTGTTTTGTGCTATTTGGGTTTTGCTGGTCATTTTTGTCTTCTTGATTCTTTTGGAAGTAGGGATTCTTGCTTTGAGAATTTTCTTCCCTTGCCTGTTGGGCGTTCTGACGCCAGATCTGAGACTTTTGCGAATTTTGTTTCTGGAGTTTTTCCTCAAGGTGTTTTGCAAAATTTGCTGCGAAGATGCATCTCTCATTGCTTGATTCGGCGTGTTGGGCTAGAGCTAAGGCTGAGGGGATGTCGTGCGTCTTTAGTGTTTTATTTGTCAATAGTGTGAGTTTTTTTTGACCTCGTCGAAATATTGTAACACTGGCAAGTTTCCCTGCTGAAGCGTGCTTTGTTGCTTTTAGATTACGTGAACCGGTGTCCTGTCCGCGTATGTGAAATCTAACCTAGCAATAATAGCTTTGAAATTCAACACTGTGTTGAATGAGCCCAGCACAACATCTGCTGGTCCCCTTACTTTGTTTCTGATTATAGCTACAGCCTGGTAGTGTCTTGAGGTGCCGTTGTATGGCTCGAAGACTTCATGGGCTGCGGATGCGGCTTGCCTCCACGAAACATCATTTTCTATCTTTCCCTCGAACTCGGGGATGGACTTTGCAACATCTAGGGGCTCGTCGAAGCGGGCCCCTGGCACGATTTCAACTTCTTGGAAAATTTTTATCTGTGGTGCAGAAACTCTAGATTTACTAAGCTGGTTTGTCAGAGGGGCTATCTTCTCCTCGCACCTTTGCCTCTATCTGGGCAACCTGAATTCATTTTTTTTGATTGATCTAAAGTTAGCTCTAAGTATGAAGTTATTAGTTCGTCGCCACTACTGTCGTCCGCTTTGTCTTGGTATTGCCCTGGGCGCAACATAAAAGAATCAAATCGTTTCGGAATTAATTTTTTATTTAAGCTTACAAAGGTTTCTTTAACACTTTATTGCAACAGGCAGAAATTTGTTTAAGTTTGCTTTTATAAACACTGAAACCTCACACTAGACGGCTCTGGGTATTTTATTAACTTTATTTGAAATATACAAAAATGAACATCTTACATTTGTTTTCAAATATGAATTTTTGAACTTCGATCAAGTGGTGTGGTGGCCGCTGCGATATGTTGTTTTCCGTCGGCCGCTTGTTATTGTTGATTTGTTTTATTAACTCGCTCAGCTCTCTTGGCTGGGGTTCATTTCATTTCTGTTGTGTTTGTTGTGTGAGTGCGTATTTTTTGCACTGTTTTTGTTTTTTGTCACAAAATTTTGTCGAGCTTGGTTCCACTAGGATGCTCGGGCGAAAATGCTTCTAAGCACGCAACAAAGTTTACAAGAAAAATAGATTGTCGCATTCAAGGAATAATATGTATATAATATAATATATAATCAATACTATGACTGATATATGTATTTCATAGAGATATAGATTCCTCGGATCCATTATTGTCAAAAAATAAAAACAACCCCTCTCAAAAGAGATATTACGTCTTTTGGAACTTCCGTCTACAGCTGAAAATGAAAACGATCTGCAGTGCGATTCTGATGACGATGAGGATATTTATAATATTAAATTGGATGAAGAAGAAAATTGCTTTTAAAAAATAAGTAAGTAGTTAAATAGAACAGGAAATAATTTGTATTTATTCTAAATCTACTATTAAATAGTTTGCAGGGGCGGCAAGCGTGGTCTTGGTCGCACTGGCCAATTTGGTCACAAATTATCAATGCCATTACAATAAATTGTGTGAAGTTTGAACCATGTAACATCAATTTTTCGACTTTATGCCAAATAAATCGAGTTCTGGACCACAGTGGAGTGGATCGATTAGTGACACGACCGTCGGTAAAGCTGGCAAAGATGATATATTAGTTGGTAATACACAGCTGGAGCAGGTGAATTAGGGGAGGGGGAATGATAAGTCGGCAAATGGAATGTTGACGTCGTGCCGTAATTCCGAAGTTATTAATCCGGCCCTGCGCCCAGATTTACCTACGCCCTAGATAATATATATTGTATATTTTCTATATTGTACCGCAAGCTTAGAACCGTAGTATCAATGCCAAGCGCTGAGAAGCAGCAAATGCAAGAAATTGGAAAACGGCGTGGACGTGCGAGCTGAGGAGGAAAACGCAAATGTAAGAATTATAATGTAAACCAGTGAATTAATTAACAATGAATAAAGATTTCAGTTGATCGTTTGATTGATTTCATAGTTTGATTGATCATTGGAGATCCAAGCGAATACTTGAAATCCGTGTTCAATTTGGGAGCGAAGTAGCCAACAGCTAATAAAAAACTTATTAAACTTATTTGGTGAACCCGACTCGATTTGAGCTTAAACAACACCAGGTGCAAATCATGCATAGTTGTTTTAAACTTTAAATTTTATTAAATCGCTTTTGTGCGGAGTGCGTTGAATCAGCAACAAACATTTGTCTGCAACTGTCAGTAAAAGTTGAGGGCAGTAAACATTAAAAGTAATTTCCGTTGATTACCTAAGATAAGGAATTATATTTGCGCGCATCTATAGCCCAGTAACGGACTGCTGCCGCTAATTATCTTTGCGCTCATCTCCCGCTTAAACCGAATTTCGAGACGTTTTTCTGCTGGTTTATTGTTGTATTTGTCGCCAAAGCTGCTGAAAATTCTTGAAACGTTACCGCTGATGCAAGCTGGGTGACGTTTTTGCAGCGCAAGGCGAGTAGAGCAGAACGTTTAGCGGGCTTCCTCTCAAGCTTAGTTAAATTTCATGCGACGAGTCCGTTCTTTATGTGAGGTTGAAGAAGATCGATGAACTTCGTGAAGCATTTAGAAAAATTCAATACATTCAATGCTTATTTTTGCGTTACCTTCATCTAAGTACTACTTCCATGGCTGTATCCGGTAAGTTACGCGAAATGGAGATTTTGACCTGCTTTCTAGAAGAGATGAAGTCGGCCGAATTGCCGTACTAAGAAAAGCATCAGAATGGACGAAGGGATCAGTAAATAAGATGTCTGCTACCCCTTACTGATGTTGTCCACGCTCGTTTTCAACGGGGGGAGTATGTGAGATTCATCCTTTAAAAACATTGCAACTTTGTAAACACAATTATGCGATACTGTGCAATTTTATAGGCTATTATCTGCGTAAATAGGCACAAAAGCCCTTCTCTTTCCTCTCATTTGGCTTTATGTTCTGCTGTCTGAAGTCTGCCCATCGTCAATAATCGCTGTAACCACAAATAAAATAAACTACATTCGAAAATCGTAATATTTAAAGTCGTCGTTTTATACTAAAAATAGCTAATAAAAATACTTATTAGCTCAACATAAATATTTATTACATTTTTTTTATATGATGTACGATACCTCACCAAAAAAGTAAAAAGTAGTAGTCCATATGCGATGCAAAACAGGGGCTTGAGGTTTTAATTTGCTAACGTGTAGTGCGTTCAGATTGTCAATTTGACGATTCCTATATGAATCTGGAGTATTGTGTTTTACACTATATTTATTATAAGGGTGCTTACAGCGTACAATAAACGATAAAAAGCGCAATCATTTTTAATGAAGCAAACAAAAAAAAAATTAATGGTATTGTTTAAAAGTTTTATATTAGTGTTATTAATCAAGTCTTTCATTAAAGTCTGGTTTCCATATGTACGCTGGGTCACAATGCTGCTGCATTGTGTGCATATGTGCATATGTACATATGTACATATTAAATAAATCAAAATATTTTTACGACTTATGTATACTGATTAAAAAGCGGAAATTGATTAATTAAATGGTAAAATTGATAATCGACGTTGGTCCTAATGCATGTAGGCACATTAAAGTAGGACCTAAAGATACTGTATTTTTTTTTTTGGACATAAGCATTTGGACATTTTGTTAAAAGATCGAAAGTTATTTAATTACTATATGAAAGTCTTGTATTGATGCATTTTTGCAAAATTTTGCCATTTCACACAATATACTTTTTTTAAACAATAAACTTTTCGAAATCTATATAACTTTTCTTCATAAATTAAAATAGTGACGTTAGACGTAATAGATTTGTGTGTTTTTTAGACCCGATACTCGTTCAGTAGAAGGGTGTACTACATCCTTTCTTGAATTGTGAAAATAGTAATAATAGCCCTCTGGTCCAACTAGTTAGAATGCTGTTCCCATATAGTTTTTCCCTCAACTATTTGGTTTTCAATGATCTGCTTCAGTACAGATTAGATTATCAGTATATATAGGATTACTAACGATGTGTTGACTTTGACCTATTTTTCTATCTTTTTTTTTAGTGAATTACATTTTTCAAAATTGGTTAACAACGATGAAAGTAACGAGTCAAATCAAAAGAGTCAAAAGTTTTGCAATTGTAACAAAAAAAGAGGAATCATATGAAAAATATTTTTCAAAGCTATTCTGTTGAACGGCACTGTATATATATGATAAATTTACTTAAGAATTGTATTTTGTAAAATTTAAAGACATTCAAAAGCATTATAGAGTTAAACCTATAGTATGGCTTATACATATTGAGGTTTTTCGAGTAATCTGTTATAAGGTGGTTAGGTGATAAAAAAAGTATTAAATTATAAATATAAATATAAAATATATATAATTATAAATTTAACATATTGTTTGTAAGGACAATAACCACCGATAAGCATATTTGTTTCTCAGACACTTTTGGTACGTTTTTCTATTGAGTTGCATAACAAACATTTAATACATATTCAAGATGTTCAACAAAAAATCATGATATCCTTTTAAAATATGAAAAGTTGTTAAATTATTAGCGATATCCGTTCTCTTGACAAGCTCGAAAACTTTCTAGTTTTTGTGGATCTCATCATTTACGTTCACCTTATCTGCTTTTTCATCCATAAGCCATAAAGGACACATTCCAAGCAGACAGCCCACAGTGATCCCGACAATTCGACCCTAAAATAATAGATATAGATATGAAAAACCCTTTTGTCTGTTCTTTGATTAACATACGTAACTTGACGACTGCTTGCTAGACTTTAATTCAAATTGCGCTGGAGTCAAATTGGGCTGCTTTAGACCCAATATCTGGCACCCATTCTCAACGTAGGTAGCCATAGTGATGCCCAGAATATCGCTTATGGTGTTGCCTAGTCCTGCGGCTGCCATTGTAGACAGCGTTATAAAGTGGCCCAAATAATATTCAATATATTCGCCCTACAAATGGAAATATATTTACACGTTTATATGGTTGTCTATACATCATACTTACCGCCATTATCATTATGAAATTGTCAAGAAATCCGAAAGCGACAAACGGCACTGCATTTACAAAGAAAACTAAAAATATATGATGACTTATTAGTTATAAACCAACAAGTTATGACATTTACTTACTGCTGTACAATTGACCTGCAGTGGGTGATGCTGCCGTCTCAACTGCAAACAAAATAAAAAGGAAAGTATGATACCACTATAGGGTTAAGAGTTCGTTGATGATGCGGATGCTGTATTATATCCACAGGCACAGCTTTATGTTAGTGGCTGATATAGTTATTTACCCAATTTTTTTCGCAGCCAATCATCGGGCACTGCACAAAAAGTTCCCGCAATAACTTGGCCCAATTCCGTCTTATTGGAAAGTCGTCCGAAGCGAGTACGCCAACTGCCAAAAGCCAGTTGACCTTAAAACCGATGTATAGTGATGTGTGAGCCGAGGCGGTGGCGTGTTTTTTGTTCCAGTGTCAGATATGTGTTATTAAGATATCGATGTTGGGATATGAAAAATAAATAAAACATTTTTGTCAAAAACCATAACAAGAATTGATTTAGTGTACGGTGTTAACCTGGTTCGTTTGTATGTATTAGACCATTCTGTTTTTCAACAATTCGCTTAACTTAGAATACGATTGAACGACAGATTACCCACACATTATATAACGCACCTCTCTTTTGCCACAGCAGACATTGGTTCAGAAATATCGTGTAAATTGGTTGAAGTCTTAATGACCAATTTCCCATCTTTATATATATCCTTCCCTATCTAAAGCCTTCAAATATCATATCCAATTGTTCCTTCAATCTGAAGAAGCGATTAAACAGCTTTAACAGTTTATCTAAAGAGCGTATTTTTCCATACCCCAGAAAAATATCTCTACCCTTCCTAGTACAATTCTTAGGGGGTTTAACACCTTTCTCAACTAGAACAAGGGAGAATCTATAGTCGAGATCACCGACTATCAAATAACCGTTAATCAGTTATTGAAAGTGCGTACGAGAAATTGTAAAATTTTTTCATAAAATAAAACAATTATAAAATGTTTCATAGGTATGGGTGTGGTAGTTTTGGGCGGTTACGCGTCTATATCTCTGAAATCTGCATGCTTAAAACATGTGTCGAGATAACACAGAGCTTATGATAAGTTCCTGCTCCGGATCCCACTTGTAGTAGCACTTGGGTAATAAATAATAAATCACTCTTAGCCCAAAAGTCTACTCTTAAGCCCAAATTAGGTAATGATCGGCAAACAGCCAAAGAGTTTTTATAGCATACTTTCTGTACTTACTTTAAGCCTAAGCCTCCGCTTAAGCGAAAGTATTCTAAGTAGCGATACTCCGGAGATAATATCGATAATAGCGATATCGCTTCCCATATTGAAAAGGGCTTAACACGATCTCCAAATTTTCGCCGCGAGCTTGGCTATATCCGCCCGAAGCTTGGTCTATTCTTTTCAATCAGACCAGCGAACGAAACGGACGTGCTCTGGTAGCATAAGAATAAGCTTGATCAAGTTACCAGAGTAAATATTTTATTTTAAACTAATAAACTAATTTAACTTTTATAGGATTGGAACCTAGTGCTAAGAATTTTTCCCCAAAAAATTCGGCGGCCTTCAACCCGAATCGTCGGAGACAGGCCGATCAAAATCCAATTTTGTATATATTTGTTAGGCCTTAGCCGAATCTCCGCTAATGCACGTGTACTTAAACAACAAAAACAAATATCTCACCTAAAGCAAATTAATTCCCGGCCGAATCATGTATTCCCAACCTAAATCATGCTTAACCCAAAAAAGGAAAACAAAATGTAGCGGAGGATTATCTAAGTTGGTTATAACTAGGTTAGTTTTCTTGTTCCTCTTTAATATTTTCATTTACGAAATAATATGTTTGCTTTCGAAATTTTTCCTGAAAATATATTGGCAAAGGTAAGAATGAAATATAAAAAAAATTGAAAGAAGTGAAACATAAAATATAAATAAGTGAAAACAAACCCCAAAAAATAAAATACTCAGTGCATAACATTAATATGAATTAATAATAATAACTTAATTTAGCTGTAATAATATATAATATAATATAATAGCTGTGTAATATATAATAAATAAATAATATTTTTCACTTTATAAATAATCAAAATTAGAGTTTAAATATAAATTTAATATTTCAAAACCCATCTTTCCCAGCGTTTCTGGCAGTGTATGCTCGTGATTAAATATTTCCTATATTTAGGAAAAAAAAACTTTTGTTATGATGATCAAATTAGATCAAACTCGGCTGATCTGTATCCCTGCGAAATCCACTCAAGAGAGCGCCTAATTAACGTAAACATAAATGAGAGCCTATGTACGCTCAATATGAAGAAGTAAATAAGCTCAGCCAAGGGTTTGCTAAGCGTTCGCTATGCAAATTAGATTTAGATTTTATTCATACTTCAATTGTGTAAGACGTGAATTTGTCTGCGACGTTCGCTTAAGTTTTTGATTAATAAAAATATTTTTTTTTTATAAACCAACAAACTGCAAAGTTGTAATTGGCGCAGCCGGTAGGATCCGCGTGTGAACATAATCTCTTAGAGCTAATAGATTAGTTCGAGATTAATGAAGCGCAGCTCGTGGCGAACAAAGTTTCGTTTGTGCTTCAGTTTATACAAAGCAGATCCGCAAAAGAATCTATGTGACAAAATATTTGTGAATAGTTATCTAACTCTCGATGTTGGATACTATTAATACAAATTAAAAACTGCAAGTGACCATTAAATCGTGACTCACCAAAATAAATAAAAGGTGTGACTGTTACCAGGTCAGTGTAGCCCATCTAACTTTGATTGGACCGCTACGAAGGTGTGTGAATTTTAAAATTAAAAAAAAATAAAAACCCCGGTATTAACCTACCGAGTGATTCAAAAGCAAAAATCAACAATAGCCAACAACATGGCACAACCCAGTGAACAAATTATGATTCTATCCGAGTTACATTTGAATCAGGCTTTGGGCCAGATTCGCCACATCCCAACATTTGACGGTTCCACAAGAGAACTGGCATCATTTGTGAGACGTGTGGACTTCGTGATGTCCCTATACCCGACAACAGACAAGAGGCAACATAGTGTACTCTACAGTGCCATCGAGATGCAGCTGTCCCGACACGCACAAGAAGTGTCCCAGCTACAACAGTGCAACACTTGGGCTGAACTACGATCAGTCCTCATTGAAGACTTTACAACACGTTCTGGAGTGGTAGTATTCGTAAGTTTGTAGAAGAACTAGAAAATAAGATTTTCGAAATTTCAAATAAATTATCACTAGAAAATAATTATACAAATACAACTCTTTATACCGCCGCAATGGCTAATACTATAAAAGAATTCCAGACAGAATGTTCATGACTTTAGCAAGGTACGACATTACAACAACAACATTATTAAGACAAGTAGCGCAAAGGGAAGGCCTTTACGATACAATTGTATTAAATACAGAAAAAGCTAAAGCTAAATCAAACAGTCCATCTACATCACAAAGCAGTAGTAAAAATAATGATTCTCAAAAGAATAAAGGAAATAATAATGACCAAGGTACAAAACCTTATTATATTCAAACACAGCAAAATCAAAATAATTATGCAAGTAATAATTCAAAAAGGGTTGAAAATAACCAAGCGACATACAGTGAGTTCAAACAAAAGTTAGACCAAGGTAGAGCGCAAAACACTCTAAATTATCAAAAACCCACATCTTATTCTACTACTAACCAGCCCCAAAAAAGGCAGCGTGAAAGTTCCAGTGGTCAGTCTAAAATGGACACTAGTGAAAATTTTCATCAACTTGCCTCGGGATCGGAATCAGAAGTAGAAGAAGAAGAACCTACCCATTCATACAAATAACTATGTACGATATCAAACTCAAATGTTTGATTGACACAGGTTCATCAATAAAATTGATGAGTACAAATTTTTCCAATTGTCTGATTAACTCAAAAGCTGCATAGGATGTACACACAATAAACGGTCAAATTATTTTAAAATCAAAAATTGCATTAAAACCTAGTAAACTATATCCAACAAAGCAAACATTTTATTTACATAAATTCTCAGAAACATATGATATTTTGTTAGGCAGGGAATATTTGGAAGATTCCAAAGCAACTATATGCTATACATCCAATACAGTTACTTTACATAAATACACATTTAAATTGCATCTTGAAGATATTAATGAAGAAGAAGAAACACCTAAAGAGAGTTTAAAAGAAAACCTGTTAGATTCCCCAAATATTGAGTAGTCAATTATGTAACTGACAACGAACTCAATGAAACAAATGAATTTCGACTTGATCATCTAAACGATGAAGAGAGGAAAGCCCTCACCAGTGTCTTATACGAGTTTAGTGACATACAGTACAAAGAAGGTGAAAATTTGACCTTCACAAGTACAACTAGCATATCATAACAATTAAACACGAAGACCCAATTTACAGACGTCCATACAAATACCCACAAAGCTTCGACGAAGAATTCGAAAACCAAATGAAAGACATGATGCAACAAGGCATCATAAGAAAATCGAATTCTCCGTATTGCTCTCTGGTTTGGGTAGTACCCAAAAAGCCAGATGCATCGGGAAAATCGAAATTTCGCATAGTCATTGACTATCGCAACCTCAACGAAATAACCGTTGATGACAAATACCAAATACCGGTAATGGATGAAATATTGGACAAGCTTGGAAATTGCCAATACTTTACAACCATTGACTTCGCAAAAGGTTTTCATCAAATACAAATGGATGAAAATTCCATAGCGAAGACAGCTTTTTCCACCAAAAATGGTCATTTTGAATATACTCGAATGCCATTTGGTTTAAAAAATGCACCCGCAACTTTTCAACGTTGCATGAATAATCTCTTAGCAGATTTAATATACAAAAACTGTCTCGTATATATGGATGACATAATTGTGTATTCCACTTCATTGGAAGAGCACATAATGTCCTTGCGAAAGGTATTCTTAAATCTCAGGGAAGCAAATTTAAAATTACAGCTAGACAAATGCGAATTCCTTAAAAAAGAAACTGAATTCCTAGGGCATATAATTACAACAGATGGTATTAAACCAAATCCCACAAAAATTAAAGCCGTAGTGAATTTCCCTATACCAATGTCCACTAAGGAAATAAAATCATTTATTGGTCTTTGCGGTTTTTAACGCAAAAAAAAATGACATTACGACTAAAAAAAAGGATCAATAATAAATATCAAAGACTCAGACTATTACTTAGCTTTTGAATTTGTTAATAACGTCCGATCCCATATTAATACACCCAGATTTTAAAAAGTCTTTTTCACTAACTACTGGTGCCAGCAATTTTGCTATAGGCGCGGTATTATCGCAAGAGCATAAACCTATA